GTGGACCTATTGGCTGTCGCCCTTGCTTCAGAATCGGCCAAGTTTTTTCCCCTGGCAATGGGGGAATCCCCTTTCTGGTGGCCCGGGCAGTGTATAATACTCACTTTTAGCGGTCGGTGAAGGGCCTCTAGCAGGGCTATGATCTCTGCCTTGTTTTTGATTTCTTTTCCTCCAGAGGTTAGCAGGTCCCGCTGTCGATAGATGGCACCATGCACATGGGCAGTGGCAAAGGCATACCTGCTGTCCGTATAGATGTTGATTCTTTTGCCCTCTCCTAGTTCAAGGGCTTTTGTGAGGGTGATGAGTTCTGCCTTCTGGGCGGATGTTCCTGCAGGTAAGGTCTGTGCCCATATCAGGTTCTGGCCATCTACTATAGCAGCTCCTGCCTTTCGTACTCCTTCCTCCAGGAAACTACTGCCGTCAGGTGGCTTCGGCATCTGTCAGAGGCTGATCTGACAAGTCTTTCCGCCCTCCATGTGCCTCAGCAAGCATTTGTTGGCAGTCACGGATAGGAGGGTCAAGGTCAGGGTCTGGTAGCAACGTGGCTGGATTTAAGCTTGCCAGGGGGAGCAAAAGTAACTCGGTCTGAGTTCAGTAACAGAGTCTGATAGTGAGTCATGTGAGCATTTGTGAGCCAGCGGTCAGGGGGCTGGCAGACAATACTCTCTAAAGCATGAGGTGCTGAGATCACTAAACTCTGTCCCATAGTCAATTTGTCAGCATTTTTTACCAGAACTGCGACTGCTGTATGATTCTTAGACAAGCTGGCTACCCCAAGGCTACTGGGTCTAGTTTTTTTAGACAGATATGCTACAGGCCTTTTCCAGGGCCCCAGTTTTCGAGTTAGGACCCCCTTTGCAACCCCCTTATTTTCTGCCACATACAAGTGGAAGGGCTTGGTTAGGTCTGGGAGCCCCAGAGCCAGTGCGAACATTAAGGCCGTCTTGATGTTGTTAAAAGCCTGTTGTTCTTCCTTTCCCCACTTGAAGGGCTGACTGTTCTTAGTGAGGGTATATAACAGGGCTGTCATCTCAGCAAAACCAGGTTTCCATAGGCGGCAGAACCTCTTAGTGAGGGTATATAACAGGGCTGTCATCTCAGCAAAACCAGGTTTCCATAGGCGGCAGAACCTGGCAGTACCTAAAAATTCCCTGACTTGTCTTGGATTAGCGGGTGGTGGAATGTGAAACACTGTCTCTTTTCTGGCCTCAGACAACCACCTCTTCCCATCTTTAAGAAGGTACCCCAGGTAACGAACCTGTCACTTGCAGATCTGAGCCTTTTTGGCGGAGGCTCAATAGCCCAGTTCTCCCAACTCTGTGAGGAGACACTTTGTTCCTTCCAGATACAGTTCCTCATCAGCCGCTGCTAAGAGGAGATCATCTACATACTGTAACAGAGTTACCTGGGGGTTAGAGGCCTGGAACATAGCCAAGTCTTGGTGGAGGGCCTCATCAAAGATGGTGGACGAATTTTTGAACCCTTGAGGCAGGCGGGTCCACATGAGTTGCCCTGCTAGGCCAGTCTCTGGATCTTTCCACTCGAAGGCAAAGTAATCTTGACTTTTTACAGTCAGCGGCAAACAGAAAAATGCATCTTTGAGATCCAGTACCGAATACCAGGTCCTGTCTGGAAGTAAAGAACTCAAAAGATTATAGGGATTAGGGATGGTGGCATGGAGGTTGGCCACACGTTTGTTTACCTCTCGGAGATCTTGGACCAGCAGCAAGGGCGTGTTCCAGGCCAATTGGCACTTCTGTAGGATCCCCAGCTGGAGAGGCTTTTCTTGTCGATCTAACACCCGAGATCCCTCAGGGTCAAAATGAATTTGAGCACCCATTTTGGTGAGGAGGTCTCTTCCCAGTAGTGGGTAGGGGCACTCAGAAATGACAATGAACGAGTGGGATACCCAGCCCACGCCTAGGTCCACTGTTCTTTGGGTAGTCCATGAGTACTGCTTATTCCCTGTAGCCCTTTGTACCCATGACTTCTTTTTGAGAAGGGGTCCATTTGCTTGTTGTAATACTCAATTCTCGGCTCCAGTATCTACCATCAGGATTCCTGTGGCCGTGATGTGCCGGTACGTCTACCCACTGCTATGAACACTACAGACCAATGGATCTGTCCCAGAGCCACCGAAAAGCCAAAACCAGACCTATGACTCCCTCCCGGAGCCACCAAAAAGCTAACCAGACCAGTGACTCCCTCCCAGAGCCACTGAGAAGCTGAAACCAGACTACAGCAGACAACAGAGACACAAAGACAGACACAGCTGACAGACAGACAACCGCGGTACCTGCTCGAGCGATTTTTTGTTTTTGTCCTTTTTCCTTGCAGCACGCACATTGATCCTTCCTGTTGCCCGGTACTGTCTTATTAGTTTCCCTGACTACAGTGGCCAGAATTTTGTGAAAATTTCTTTCTTGGCACTTTTCTCTCTTTATTTCTTTAGCTTCCTGCTCTTTCTGCTTTCTTTCTTCTTTTTCCTCCTCTGTCTCTCTATTATGATAAACCTTTTCAGCCACCTGCACTAATTCCCTCAACGACTTATCTTGTAACCCTTCAAGCTTCTGCAGTTTCTTCCTGATGTCTCTCCTAGACTGGTCAATAAAATCAACTGTCACTGTAGCTTTGTGCTCCTCACTACTAGGATCATACGGGGTAAACTGACGGAATGCCTCTATGAGTCTCTCCAAAAATGCTGACGGAGACTCTTTGGACCCCTGGATCACCTCTCCTACCTTAGTCAAATTGGTGGGGCATTTTGCTGACCCTCGGAGACCTGCCATTAGAGCCTGGCGGTAGACCTTCAGGTGCTCCCTACCTTCTGCCGAGTTAAAATCCCAGTTAGGTCTGGTCAACGGGAACCCTGCATCTATGACATCAGGGAGAAGGGTAGGTCGCCCATCGGCTCCTGGAACATTCTTTCAAGCCTCCAGGAGGATCCGTTGTTTCTCCTCAGTGGTGAACAGGACCTGGAGGAGCTGCTGGCAGTCATCCCGGGTGGGCTGATGAGTAAAGAGAAGGGATTCTACAAGGTTAGTGAGACCCTGGGGGTTTTCAGAGAAAGGGGGATTTTGAGATTTCCAGTTGTATAGATCAGAAGAGGAGAAAGGCCAGTACTGTAAGGGCTGGTTGCCCTCTTCATCAGGAGGGCCATAAGCCCTCAGGGGGAAGATAGGTATCGCCTCTAGAGTAGCTGCCCACCTACTGCGTGTCCCCTGTGCAGGACCTTCTTGTGCTCTTTGTGGATCCTCTGGCAGGGCCAAAGGCTCTGGCAAGGCCAAAGGATGGGCTGCCTGTGGGCGAAGGGAAGAGGCATAGGGAGGAGGAGGAGGATCAGAAAGGAGCCAGTCTGGGTCAGTGGATGGCAGGACCTCCGGTTTCTTTTCCAATTCTCAGAGGGCAAATACAGCCAATGGACCTGTTAGGGGAACAAAGGGACAGACCCACGGAGGAGGATCCATGACTAGATCTTCCCAGACTATGATATAAGGTATCTGGTCTGGGTGACTTTTAGACCTAAAAAATCTTTCTTTTTACTGCCGTGATCAGCAGCAGAGAGAAGGAACCTTCAGCGGGCCACCCGAGTTGGGAAGCCAGCCACTACAAGGAACAAAGTGCTGCCCACTTATTCCTTCTGACCTGAACGAACAAATTATTAGCTCTGTCCTTTACATCAGTCCAGTATTTCAGAGTCAGACTTAAAGGGGTTGAGACACTGTGCCCCATGTCGCCCCAGACAATCGTCAGTCCCCACGCAACCAGACAAACACCAAAACACTGATGCACCCCTGCCATGGGCGCCACAACCAAATGATCCTAGAGATCTCCTGTGGAGCCAAACTTGCTCGTCTCCCACAGAGGAATCTGGAGTGTCCTCCAGGATTCCTGTGGCCGTGATGTGCCGGTACGTCTACCCACTGCTATGAACACTACAGACCAATGGATCTGTCCCAGAGCCACCGAAAAGCCAAAACCAGACCTATGACTCCCTCCCGGAGCCACCAAAAAGCTAACCAGACCAGTGACTCCCTCCCAGAGCCACTGAGAAGCTGAAACCAGACTACAGCAGACAACAGAGACACAAAGACAGACACAGCTGACAGACAGACAACCGCGGTACCTGCTCATAAACTTTTTACATTAAAATCTAATTAACTTGAAGAGTTAATTGGGCTACTATGGAAAAATTTGTTGGTATTTTCCTAGTGGCTCATTCATTTCCTAACCAGTGGAAGAAGGGAAGCATGAATTACCATTTTATCAATGGATCTAATAAAGCCAGAAGTGGAACTGTAAGATCTGTGCACCGTGCACAAACCCCACACATCGGGATGGCTCACCTCACAAAGACCATGAGACAGAGACTGATGCAATCAAGCAAGAGGAGTTTATTTCCAGCATGCTGGGGTCACTCAGCATTCAAGACAAAAGCGACCATGAGCCTTTAACACAAGAGCTTTTTATACAGTTTTTTAGACAGACTTTCACAATAGGATGAGTTGTTTACTGTTTACAGGTTATCAGAGGTGACCTTTGGATTTATTGGTGGGCTTTAGCAAGCTGGTACCCTGATAAGGAACAGTGCACTTCCCAATCGTTTATCTTCCAGGTGGCTTTTAGATAAGGAACTGGTCAGTCAGTTCCTGGAACCGGGTGGTGTTTTACTCCCTTCCTGGAATTTAATGTGTCTGGGCCTGCCTTACTTAAAATGGTGTTAGTTATGTTTTCCCATCTTTAATAAGCATTAAATACAGAAGCAAATTAAGCATGTTAAAGTTATATTTTTTCCTACAGAACAAGCTGTGAGAATTTGCTCTTCATTCAAAAATGCTTCCATGGAAAAACAAGCTTCAGAAAATTCCCCTTCTCTTTACCTTTTGTTAACTAAAAAATAAACATATTTCCAAGAGTAAGGAGTTGCTGAGCATTCATTGATCTAGAACTGTCCTAAAAGATACTGTACCACCATTCTTCTGCACCAGTTCTCACATTGTCTGGGAAATGATTTTAGACCTTGCAACCCTCATCTCTACAGCAGTCTCTCTTAATTTCCCTTTGAGATTCTGCTTCTTTTATCCCTCAGTCTCTTCTGTTTTAACCTTTGGATTGAGCTACAGCAAAACATCTTCATGGATGTCATACAGGAAGCCAGAGAAAAATTCCAATCTCCATAAAGCAACCACCAGGAAAGACTGCAGAAATGCTATTCAATGGTGAATGATAGTCTGACATCAATAAACTCAAAGACTTCTCCAAGAAGAAATGACTTGGAAGAGGCATTTCAAAAAGGAATCGTGCTATAATGGAAAAGGTTTGGTTCTGGGTCAGAGACACCTGGCATGTGCTGCTTATTATCTGTGTGACTTTGGGCAAGTTATTTGGCATCTCTGAGCTTTGGTTTCATCATCCATAAAATGGTAATGGAGACTGGAAGATGGCAAGAGTGCACCCAGGTATCTCAGGAGCTGCCATGGGCAGCCCCCCATCCAGTAGATAGCAGGAGCATACCCAGAACTTCAGCAGCCATTGCAGGCAGCCCCAACCTGGAAGATAGCAGAAGTTCACTTGAGGACCTCAGGAGCCAACACAGGCAGCCCCCACGGTTGTCACAGACATCACTTCAATGCAAGTGGTCCTCCACAGCCACCACCACTATCACTACTGCCACAAGGTCAGCCTGCCACCACAGCAGCAGCCACAGCCACTGTGCAGGAAGCCTGCCAATCACTTAACTGCACTGACACAAGTAGAGTCACCAGAAGAGCCCAGGGAAAGAGGTAAGTAAGCACAGACCCATGACCCAGTGGCTCAACACTTGGGGTAATTACACTGCCACAATGCAGTGGGACTCCTGGGGGTGGGAGGTACATGTGCAGCCCATGTGACTGCCTTGATCTGGGGAGACACATGTGGAACCCCCCAAGAGTGCAGAAATCTAGCATACCCAAATAGAATAAGAAAATCCTCAGTCACCACCAATGATCCCCCAACTGGGGGAAGCAAAGACCCAGGAGGAGCCTCTGCCTATAGGATAGAGGAAAGAGAAAACTTGTCCACAGTCACCCATTCAAACTGAGGAGCTCCAGTATACCCCAGTGCACCCATCAGGATCATGGGACACTAGCCAGGGTACAAACAAGCCCACCCAGGGCCACACACCCCAGCTAAAGAGCAAAATTGCACCCAGGCACTTCTCCCAAGAATTCAAGAGCTTTCCCACATCCTCAACAAACCAACATGGTGTCACTGACCTTAGCAAGGAATCACTAAGTACCCCAGTGCCTACGCCACAAAGGCACTCACAAACAACTCCAACACTGAATACTGCCAAAGTACCCACACAGAGACTACACTACTGTATCTACCCAGAATCAATGCTAAAACACTCTACTGAATGGTTGACATAAGACACATCTACATGAGGAAGTCTCTCTCCTCAAGGCCCACTCCACGGTAATAGATGAAGCAATTACTCTACCAGATGACCAAACATCAATATAGAGATACCAGAAATACGAAAAAACAAGAAAATATGACACCACCAAAGGAATATAGTAATTCTCAAATACCAGACCCCATAGAGCAGAAAATCCTTGAAATGACTGAAAAGGAATTCTGAGCAATAATCTTAAGGAACCCAGTGAGATACAAGAAGACTCAGTTAGGAAACACAGTGAAATGAGAAAAGGTATCCAGGATGTGAAGGAGAAAATTTACAAAGAGATTAATACCTTCAAAAAGAACATAGCAGAACTACTGGAACTGAAGGACTCATTCAATGAAATAAAAAGCACAACCAAGAGCTTAAGCAGCAGGCTAGAGCAAGAAGAAAGACTTCCTGACCCTGAAGATTGTCTTTTCAAAATAACCCAGGCAGACAACAAAAGAAAAAACAATCTTAAAGAATGAAGAAAATCTAAGAAAGATAGCAGACAACCTTAAGCACACAAACATCTGAAGCATGGGTGTTCCAGAAGGGGAGGAGAAAGGAAAAGGCATTGAAAACATATTCAGTGAAATAATAACAGAAAACTTTCCAGGTATAGGGAGAGAAACAGACCATCAGATACAGTTGGCTCAAAGATCCCCAAACAGATTCAATCCAAAAAGGCCCTCTCCAAAACACATTATAGTTAAACTGGCAAAGCTCAAAGACAAAGAAATAATCTTAAAAACAGCAAAAGAAAAGTGTAAAGTCACCTATGAGGGAGTCACCATAAGGCTAACAGCAGACTTCCCAACAGAAACACTACAGGATAAAATAAAATGGGATGATTTATTTAAAATACTAAAAGTAAAAGAAAAAAACTGCAAGCCAAGAATACTATACCCAGAGGAAATGGATAAATTTCTGGACACATACAAACTACCAAGACTTAACCAAGAGGAAATAGAATACCTGAATAGACCAATAACAAGCAATAAATTGAAGCAGTAATCAGCAGTCTCCCAACAAAGAAAAGCCCGGGACCAGATGGCTTTACTACCGAATTCTACCAAATCTTTAAAGAGGAATTAATACTAATTCTCTTCAAACTATTCCAAAAATTGAAACAGAGGCCATTCTCCCAAACTGAGGACAGCATCACCCTGATACCAAAACTAAATAAAGATACAACTGAAAAAGAAAAATAGACACCAATATCTCTGATGAACAGAGATGCAAAAATCCTCAACAAAATATTAGCAGATACAATATAGCAACACATCAAAAAAAGTGTACATCATGATCAGATGTGATTCATCCCAGGGATGCAAGGATGATTCAACATATGCAAGTCAATAAATGTGATACATTACATCAAGAAATGCAAGGACCAAAACCATATTATTAACTCAATCAACACATGAAAAGCATTAGACAAAATTCAACATCCCTTTATGATAAAGACTCTCAGCAAATTAGGTATAGAAGGAAAGTATCTCAGACAAAAAAGCCATATGCTACAAACCCACTGCCAATATCAACCTGTATGGAGAAAAGCTAAAAGCTTTACCCTTAAGAACAGGAACAAGACTGGATGCCCAATCTCACCACTCTTATTTAACATAGTATTGGAAGTACTAACCAGAGCATTCAGGCAAGAGAAAGAAATTAAGAGCATCCAGACTGCTAAAGATGAAGTCAAACTGTCCCTGTTTGCAGAAGGCATGATCCTGTATAGAGAAAAACCTAAAGACTCTGCAAAAATTTTCAGAGCTGATAAAAGATTTCAATAAAGATGCAGGATACAAAATTAACACCCAAAAGTCAGTAGCATTCTTATACTCCAATAATGAACTAGTAGAAAAAGAAATCAATAAAGCAAGCCCATTTACAATAGTCACCAAAAAAATAAAATACCTAGGAATCGATTTAACCAAAGAAGTGAAAGACCTCTACAATAAGAATTACAAATCACTGTTGAAGGAAATTAGAGGACACAAAAAGATGGAAAAATATTCCATGCTTTTGGAGTAAAAGAATTAACACTGTGAAAATGTCCACACTACTCAGAGCAATCTACAGATTCAATTTAATCCCCATCAAAATACCAATAACATTCTTCACAGAAATAGAAAAAAAATCCTAACATTCATATGAAAGAACAAAAGACCCCAAACAGCCAAGCAACCCTCAGCAAAAAAGATAAAGCCAGAAGCATAACACTACCTCATTTCAAATTATACTACAAAGCAACAGTAACTAAAACAGCATGGTACCAGCATAAAAATAGACACTCAGA